CACCCCCAGCCTCCTCGCCAGTATACAAAGCAGAAAAGACCTTGGCTCTGCTGAGCAATAACAAAAACATCTTTATATTATCAACTCTGTGCTCAGCACAAATCCTAAACACAGCCCCATACTAGCCAGTGGGAAGAAAGTTAACTCCACTTCAGCCCAAACCAGCACAACTCATTAATAGTTCTCCAAGATCCTTTGGCAACTTATTCTCACCTATGATTTACACTAGATAGCAAGTGTTTTATTGCTGAGAGGAACCTTTTAGTGCTAAATTTCAGTTTTATCAGAAAATCTGGCCCACATAGGAGGAACATAAAAGCATACATCATCTCATCCCTTGAACAACAGCAGCTCTGGAGATGGAGAAATGAGTGGAGGCAAAACTGCTTTTTTGCAGCTCATTAAAAGGATAAATTAGGATAAGCACACTGGATACTTACTGAATCAAACATGTAATCTTATTCACTTGTTTTAACTAAATGTACAATAACTAAAGCAGTGAGCAGTGTGTTCTCTGCACATTATGCTGTCTGGTATTAATGAAAAGATATGAGCACCATCCCAGGCAGCACTTTGGCAGTATCTGTACTGTGTATTCTTATATATTGCATTTTAGAAAGATCTATGTTGAAGGTTTGCTGAAAAAACAACTTGCAGCAAATCAAAGTCCATGCAATTATATTTGTGTTTGGGTTAAATCAGTTTAGCACTGTCTGTAGGGACATCTCTTTTTTCTTTTTTCCAATTGTAAACTGATCTAGATGAAAAAGAGATTCTGTCACTAACAAGACATCAATGATAGAAATGTTTCTGTTCTTACATCTCTTTTGAAATTACTCTTCTGAATGACTTCAATCTAAATATTTTATAACTGTGGGGTTTAAAAATTAAAATGATGGAGAAATGAATGTAGCTGTAGCCGAAAGATATAAATTGAGGTTAGGATTTTAAAAGAAACACCAGTTAGAAATGAATCATGATCCTAATTTCTGTGAAATTTTTGATCCTTAGTTGAGTGTCTGTTAGACATCACAATATGTTTCTGGACACGTTCACACAAAACAATGGCTCAGCAATGGCAGCTCAGGAAGATCCTGTTCCCCCTTCACCCTGTTTGGGAGCAAGCAGCAGCTTGACACAGAAATGTAGTGAATCTGGTACTGAGGGAAATCTAAGGTGTTGTCCTGCAGTATGTAAACTATTTGCAGTATCTGTGCCATCCTGTGGAGTACAGAGCTACAGGGTGTTCTGAGAGTTGTGTTGCTGCAGAAAGGGTTCCCACTCCTGATGGGCAAACTCCCATTTCTGTAGAGCACACGTGTGACTTGTGGGGCAGAACCTACCCTGGGACAGGATCTGTAGCACCTGGTTTGAAGCCAGTTGCACTTCCCGAGTCTGTATAGCTGTATTTTAGTTACCCATGGGCAGATACATGTTCACAGCCTATCCTACGAAATACAAGAACTTGGAAAGACAACAGAAATATATGTGTAACTGAAATCTAATGTCATTCATACGTGGTTAGCCCCAGTTGAGACTAGGAGAATTAAGTGATCTGCTAAAAATGTGTGATGTTAGTAGCCCCTTTTATATCACACTGGTGTGACTCAGCCTTGACTTTTGTTCTGCCTGCAGAGCTCTGAGAATTCATGTCAGCATAGCTTAGCAGGAGCTCAGTATTTCTTCACAAGGTTCTGCAGTGAGAAAGGCCATGCCACGTCTGTAATAGTCCCTTGTTACAACACAGAGTGTTTTCTGTGGTTGATGTGGTCAACATTTAGTGCCATAACAAAACCAGAGGCCAATTAGAGATCGCTGAATGGAGGAGAGGGCAAGAATTCAACCTTTCACGTTGTCCCAGGTGGGTGGCATACAGAGTAGCAGACCACATTCAGTAGTTCTGGCACTCTGGAAAAAGATGATCACTGGTCAGATGGAAACATCCAGCAGATCCCAGTTGGGTCAGGCTGTGGCAGTTGTTACACTGCAGTGAGACCATTCTGAATGTGATCACTTTTCACTGTGAGTGTTTGTGCCAGCACAGGGGAGTCCCCAGCACAGTCCAGAATGATCTCTTACAATACCAGTTGTGCTGAGTAACTCCCCTGGATGCCTCAGCTTCCTGAAGGAGTCGTCACATCCTGAATTGAGCTCTGGTTTTGCAGTCCTTAGTAGACATTACAAGCACTACTGTGGAGTATTGCTGACACTGTCTCTCCCAGGGCCTCCATTTGTTTTGTGCTGCTGAAATTGGGTGCTCTGCAGTTTGCCATCCTTATGTGCCTCTGTTAGCCTGTGCCATACCTGCATCTCAGGCTGACAAACGACCTCTGGCTCTAATGAGCTCAGAAGCATTGAGGAAGGCTATGTTGCCCTTGCTGTGTGCAGGCAAAGGATAATGCTTCTGTGTTGGTTATAATTCTGTTGTGCTCATTATGTTAAGTAGGGCAAGCAGTACCCACAAAGCTCTTTGTGAGTGAAATGTGAATGAAACAAGCTCACACAGACATCCATTATTAAAAGTTAGGTTGTTAGGGATCCTGAAAGTGTTTACCAAACTCTTTTTGAGTGGGTGCACTTAGGATTCCACTTTGTGGGCTTGTAAATGTTCATTGCCTGATCCAGTATTGCCAAAGCATACGTGGGAGAGAGAGAGAACATTCTTTACTTATGTGCTGAGTGACAGGGTGAGTGGGAAAGGAGGTGTGCAGCAGGACCCCAGCAGAGGGACTGCTCTGGAGAGTTTGGCTCTTGCATAGACTGTGATATGAAGGAGCCTCTTTTACTCAAAGGTGTAAAACAGCTTTTCCAGGCAGTGTAACTGCAGTCAGCCAAATGACTTTTGCATTGGTAAAAACAGGAGTTGTATAAAGAAGCAAAGGCAGGAAGGGCTGAGAGGAAAAGAAACATTGCAGCTCAGATGTTTTTTCTTCTCTGGAGATTGTCAAATAGTATGGTACAGCATGTGGCTTGCAGCAGGTTTGCTCTGTTCCTGGCTGAGTCAGTGCTGTCTGGCATCTAGACAAGTGCAGAGGAGAGCTCCTGTTTCCTGTGCTCAGAGAAAAGTGCAGAGGAGAGCTCCTGTTTCCTGCTCAGAGAGGCTTTGGCTATTTTATAAGTACTTCTTCTTTCAAACAGTTCTCCAGTCCCAAATTGTATTACTTTGAGGCTCAGTTTGTCAAGGCACAATAGCAGAAGCCTTGAAGAGCAGCAAAATTAGGTGTGTGATAAAGTGGGCACAAACAGAGCAGGCAAGAGGTCCCTTGGAACAGATGTGACTGCAAGGGAGAAAAGTCAAGCACTGGCTGTTTGCAGAGACTGATGCATTTTAGGACAAAAGCTGTTTGTGGATAGCTGTCCAGAAGGTCCATCAGTGTTACAGTGACATGTGCAGTTCTGGATGTAGCCTGCAAGGCATCAGATTTCTGTGAAATTTTCCCTTTAATAAAACTTCAGGTGGGTTCAGGCTGGGTGTTTTCCTGCCAGCTCTGCCTCTCCCCAGAGCCCCAGCTCCTGCAGCCTTCCACACACCAGAGCAGGACGTGTCCCTGTGGAAGGAGCACAGGAGCCTGTTGCATTACCTATCACACTGGTTTGGACACAGGTCCTGAAATTCCCCCAGTATGCAGCATTCTTAGGTACCTCATGTTTAATTCCACCGTGTTTCCTGCTCTCCTGTCCCTCTGCCTCTGGTTCTTGTTCGTGTTGTCTCAGCTTTGGCTCCTTCACCTGGCTCTCAGCACTGTGTGCTGTGGCTCAGCCACCCTTGGGACTGTGCTGTGCTCCTTTGGCCTGTCTGGCTGTTCCTCCTCCAGTGGCTGCTCAAAGCCTTGACTGTCCCTGGCAGTGTCACCAAACCTGCTGCAGTCCCTGAGCAGCTTTAATAGCTCAAGTTAATACCCATGTACACTTGGAGAGGAAGAACAGCCTTTTTCATGTTGTTCAGTGCCAGCCTTGTTAGCACAGCTCAGTTAAAATACTGGTAGTGAAAGGAAAAATGAAATATGATCACCAAATGACGTTATAAACATAGCTACATAAATAGTTGAGCTGAAGTTCTTACAAGACTCAGGTCTTTTGTCAGAATTTTACTGCTTTTTCTTTCATTTGTGTGAAAATGGGATTTGTTTTTTACTCCTGTACATCTTTTACTCCCATACATCTTGAACCATTTGCTATTTTGGCTGATGACAAAATGTTACCAGATCTTGAAGAATGTACAATTCTGTTTCTCCTTGTGGCTCTGAGAAATTCTGACTGTGTTGGAACTAAATCTCCCTCCTACATATGTTCTTAAAACTACACTTTAACCCCAAATGTTTTAGTAATATACTTATTTGTGTTTAAAGAAAAAAAAAGCCGAATAGATTATATAGTTCAGTGATTAAAGCACAAGACATGTTCTCTTGCTGTCGTTGGCTCTGATACCCACAGAACTCTTGGTGAATGATTCTCAAACTATAGAAAATAATTCTCGTTCATAATTTATGTTCATATTTGTAGAATGTCTCAGAGATGTGTTATTAATACAGGAACTTGTTCTCACTCTGTTGTTCTTCCTGCAGAGTTATGCCAAATTAATTTTTATGTGACTGGCTAAATTGCCTTATCACAATGCAAGTGTTCGCAGGGAATATCATTTTCTTGTGGCCAGATATTTGAAAGAGGATCCATGATGTGTTCTGTCCTCCATTTCCCAGAGTCGTGCTTGAAACAGAGCACCAGGAGTGTCTCTAAATCTGCAGTAACCATGACAACTGCTCTGTGTTATTAGCCTAATGCGATGGAGAGGAGCAGGTTGCTCGTGGTAATTTGTTGGCTGCGTTGAGCTGACGCACTCGTTGTAACACTAAGTGATGTTTAGGATTTACAGTCTGAAATAAGTCACAGTGCTGAACATCCTCTGTGCCTCGTGGGCTGGTGGCTCGGGCCGAGCGGAGCGGAGAGTTTCATCCCTACCCCTTCCTCTCCTTTTCCCCCTTCAGCACACGTCATGCACATGGACACACACCCTTCACCGTGGCTGATCGTCATTCCTGCCGGGAATGATGGAATTTCAGTCCTCACCAAGCTTGGCAGAAGGGAGGTGGCAGAGACACTTGTGAAGCTGCACAAGTGCTCTGTGTTCCGTGTGTGATCTGGAGTGGGGTTAATTCTGATCTGTTTAAATGAAAAAAAAGGAGGTGATTTTTATTGTCGACAGCTGATACGAAAAGCAGTGTAGACAGGAGAATGTAGTTTTTAAAACTTCACACACATTGAAAAATAAGTGAATTCGAGCTGGAAGTAAAGATAATGAATGAGTCTGAATAGAAAAAGAGGAACCATCAATTCAGGAATGGACCCTCTTTAGAAGTGAGTCCATTTGAAAAGCCTGAAGAAATTAGATACAATTAGAACCTAATTCTATTCTCTTTCAGCATATGAAGTTATTTTTAAGGTGTGGTGATGCTAAAAGGGAGTTAAATGACATGCACATGGTTTTGTGGGCTGGATCTTTTTGGAATTTGTTACAGTAGTCTATTTTACACATATCTCAAACTGAAACCCAGGAAGCTCTGTCAGAACACCAGGAAACGCTTTCTGACGGTGATGGTGACCAAGCACTGGCACAGGTTGCCCAAGGAGGTTGTAGAGTCTCAATCCTTGGAGACATCCAAGGGGGTTGTTTCCAGGGTTTCCTCCATTCAGATGAATTCATCTGCTTGTTGCCTGTGTGTGCTCTGAACAAGTGTGGGATGCTGTGGTCAATGCCTTCGGAAACTCTTAGTGTTCTTACGACCGGGGATGGATTTCTCTGAAGCAGTTTGTGTTTGCATTGTGACTTCCAGCAGTTGACATCTTTCCTTTAACCTTTCTCCCCAGGTGCAGGAACCTGACGTTCCCCGACAGCCTCCCTGAGGTCAGCATCGTGTTCATCTTTGTGAACGAAGCTCTCTCGGTGATCCTGCGCTCCATCCGTTCCGCCATCGACCGCACTCCTGCTCACCTGCTCAAGGAGATCATTTTAGTGGATGACAACAGCAACAATGGTAAGAGGTTTTTGGTTCTTCCCCCTCCCCATCCTGCGGGTGGGTCATACATGAGAAGCCTTGAGTTCTGCTCCTGCTCATCCCATTGGCATTTCAGGTGTGATCAGTATGTTCTCCCTCCTTCACCCCAGTCTTGCTGGGCTGTCTTCGGACACGGACGAGTGGAGCATGTTAGAGGTGTGATCAGTATGTTCTCCCTCCTTCTCCCCAGTCTTGCTGGGCTGTCTTCAGACAGGCATGAGTGGAGCATGTTAGTGTGTGTACAGAGGAGGAGTAACTGTATGTTTAGGGTGTCTGATAGGATTTTGAGTGTAACAGGAGATCAGAGACCTCAGACCTCGGAAGTTTTAGTGCTTCAGAATGTTTTGGAGATCATGTTCTCTCTGTGCATTTCCTGTTTCAGTTGTGTAATTGCATGTGTGTACTCACTTTTTCTCTTTTGTATAGAAGATCTTTGTGTTTCTTAGATTTCTCCTTCAGGTTTTCAGTTCTCCTCATTAGCAGCACTTACCTTGCTGCTTTTCTGCTCCCTGTACTCAGGGTTTGCTCTCTGGGATCTGCAGGATTGCACTGCCCATATCTGATGGCTCAGAACTTGCCTGGGTGTTTGTCAGTGAGGCCATGCTGGGCACTATTTACTAGTCTTATTTTCTGGCAACTTCAGTGATGAAATTTTAATAAGCACAAGATGCTGAACTTCTGAAAAATTTTGCTGTGCTGGGGGGTTAATTCTGAGCTGTTAAAAACCAAGGAGAATCGGAATTTCTCCTGTTGAAGGAAAATGCTGAACAAAGGGCTTCTCTTATCTTGCCATCATTACAGCTGTTATCTGCCTACATCCCTGTAGCTAGATCCTGTGATGAGCTGCTGATCATAAATGTATCTCAGATTTGTACAGAGAAGGAACTTATTGGGAACAAGTAAATAGGTTCACCACTCCAGGCTATGCACATCATCATCTCCTCTTCTGCTGACTGTCAATGAAGGAAAAAGTACAAACCTGACTTGTTAAAGTATGCAAAAAGCTCAACTTGGTGTAGGCTTATGTCAGATTTAGTTCCAGTCCAGGTGAATAGTCCTATATTTAGAGACACCTAAGGCTGACCAGGCTGTTCCTGCAACACCTGCTCGTGAGCACTGTGGGTCACTTGGCATGCAGAATTCAGGAGTTACTGCTCTTTATGAGGAACTGTTCCGTACACAATGGGTGTGTGGCTTCACTCACCCACCAGGGTCAGTCTGCATTAGGCTCTCACTACAGGAGGTGCAGAAGGAAGCTGTAAGCAGCTCAGAGGTGGTAGGAAATAGCAGCTGGGCCAACACTGCTCATGCCAACTGGTGATAGCAACTGGGAAAGATGAGACCCAAATGTGATGGGAACACAGTGTAATAATGGGTGTTTTAATAGTCTCAACAATGAGTACATTAATGCATATCCCATATCTTTAAAGATGAGACCCAAATGTGATGGGAACACAGTGTAATAATGGGTGTTTTAATAGTCTCAACAATGAGTACATTAATGCATATCCCGTGTCTTTTAAATAAAAGTGTTACTGTTTACAGATGGATTTGTACAAGCTCAGTGCTCCTGAGAGCCTGTTGTCACTGTGGTGAGCTCACTAACACACACACCTCCCACTGTGCTCTGTGGGCTCGTCAGGATTGTTCCTTTGCATTATTTCTTAGCTGCAATCGATAAGGAATCACAGGAGCTACTTAATATTTCAGGAGAAGCTGTTCAGCCACGGTGTTTGTTAGTGCCAGTACTGTCCTGTCCAAGGTTGTATTTTTGTGTTTGGCTCTTGCCTTTCTTACCCTGCAGTGCCTTAAGCCCTAGGGTTCCTGCCCCAAACAGGGGTCAGAAATTGAGGGGAAGGTAACCTTTGCTTTGGTTGTCTTGGCTTGGTGTTATAGGTCATTTTATACCAAATCACACTCTGCAGAGTGGTGTTTAGTCTCCAAGAAAAATTCAACGCTTCCCAGGATTTTATGCTGCTCCTGTAACCCTTTCTCTGGCATCTCTTCCCTGCAGTAGTAAATCAGATTTCCACAGTCCTCTTTGTCCCATAATGCATGCTGAAGACCTGGTAATAGGCATCCATTTGGAGGGAATGGATGTTTGATCGGGGCGGGAGAGATCGTAAAGATGATTTATGGGCTTTTCTATTATTAGCTTAAATCTTGAAATATTTATTTTACCATTTGCTTTGGCTCGTGTAGTACTCTGTTTTCTTTTTTGTGTTCTCCCTTCTAGCATTGCTGAGCCGAATCCTTTCTATTTAGTGTCATTCTGTGTTTTTGTTAGTGGCTCTTTAGCTTGAAGTGTTGCTGTGTGTGAGGTGAGTGGGTTGCTCTGGGTTTCCCTGCAGTGTTAGCTGAGGGGCAGGTGCCTGCAGCTGGCTCTGGCACTGGGATTGCTCTCAGGCTTTTGCCAGGGGTGGCAACTTCTGTAGCTCCATGTAAGAGCTCTTCCTGTGGTGCCATGGGCAGGAAGCATCACACGGTGGGCAGTGGCTGGAGGGGAAGAGTGAGAGCAGAGATCAGGCAGAGTGTGAATGAGCACGTTCTGATGTGGAGTCCCTTGCACTGGTGGCTGGATTCACATAGAGGGGTTTAAAATAGAGGCAGGGACAGTGACTGGCACTCGAGGGGAGCCCCAGAATTTCCCAGTTCTGAGGGAATGTGATACACTGGTGAACTGGTATAAATTCTTGCTGTGGGCCAAATTCTGAGTCTAGTAACGAACACCAGAATTCATCCCTAATTTCTGCAGACCTGTGTCTTGGAAAAGAGCAGCTGTTTTTTAAATTCCAGAAGGCTGAGTTCAGAGACATGAATCCAGGTGCGTTGCTATTGCCATAGTGTTTTACTGCATGTACTTCAAGGTGTGTCGAGCAAATTATCTATGACTCTCTCTAAACCTCAGTGCTGTTTTTCAGGTTCCAAATTATGTTTCAGGAGACCTCAATTAATCTCTTTGTGAAGCTTCCCTTTTCTAAAATAAATGTTTCAAGTTAGGAAGCTGTGAAAATGCCAGTGTGTGCCATTTCAAAGCAGCAAATAGATTTGGCAGGTCCTGAAACTTTGATCCTTTATTTAGTAAAGCTATTTGCATGGCTTAATGGATGTATTTCGTCTTCCCATATTTTCTGGTGGAATTCTGGTAAGCATTGCACTGATGAATTGTTCCATATTGCTGTTAGGTACATCAGTATTTAATTGAAGGATAAAAGAGGTGCATTCCAGTGATTGCCTGTGTGCTGTACAATCAGAACAAAATTGATGAGTAATGAAGGAAATATTCTCACGTGTTCAGTGCAGTGGTTCTCATTTTGTCCTGAGATTTCCACGGATACAGCTGTTGACATGCAGGTGTAATGCTGAATATCACAGGATGCTGCTTTTATGGCTTGCAGTGCTTAAGAGAATTAGCACAGCCTGGTAGAAAGTGGGTCAGGTACAATGGTATCACCTGTGAGAGATCTGCAGCATTGTCCTCAAAACACTGAGTGAAAAACTTCTCAAAGAGCATCCAGAGCTTTTCATTAGAAAGGTATATTTCTTCTTTGGTGATCTTCAAGAGATATTTGGGAATAGAAGATGGGCTGATTTTTATTTCTTTTTCTGTACAAAAGCAGTGATGAATAAGCCTCAAACTGCTGTCCAAATGCAAATGTTTCATGTCACAGCACGATCTGAAGGTGGCTCACTTAGAGACCAGACAACAATGAAAAACCCATTAATAGCAGTCTCCCAGGGAAAGGAGGGCTGTGTGCTGCTGGTTGGCAGTGAGATGCAAAACAACATGTTCTCAAATTGTCCCCGTGCCTCTTATCATCTCCTCCATCCCAGGATTTGCTGCACTTTCTCACAAACTGCATTCCTCCTCCTTCCTCATCTCATCGTTCAGCTTCCCCTGGCCTTTAGCCACAGTAATTAAACTCCTGCCTGACTCATCCCTCCCCACCTCCCTCCTCCTCCACTGCCCACCAGTGTTCGATTCTTTGCTTTGTAGCAGGTTTTTATCCTTCTGGTTTGCTCCCCTGTGCCTCCGTTTCAGACACATTTTTCCATTCTCTCTTGCTTTGATTTAAAAATAGTTCTGTTCTATGCTGCTCAGGCCCCTTTCTCTCCCCTGTCTGAGCTCCATGTTCCATCAGACATGAATGCTGCCTCACGTTCCACCAGCCCAGGGGCAGGGACAGCATCCCTTGCTGGAGACACCTCTGCCTTTTCAGGTGTCATAGTCCTGGGTGTGTGGAAGCTGTTTGATAACCAGCAGCTCTGTGGTGGGAACTGTCACATTGCTCCATTCCACCTGACTCCATGGAAGGTCCTTAGCCTTCCTCTTCTGGACAGTTAGCAAAGTTCCAGGGCTGTGAGGGTGGAGTGGGACTGCAGGGCCCCTGCAGCACATCCCAGAGAAATCACATCTGTTGCACCATTTCCCTCTGTGGCAGCAGTGACTAAATGGCTTCTCAAAAGAACAGTTATTTTAATCCTCTGCACTATGGCACAGTTCAGTCTGTTGGTGTGGCTGAAGAGCAAGATTTCCACCTGTGTGAGCTGATAGTGTCCACATCAGGGGCAGCTCTGGGGGCAAAGCTTGCATTGAGGTCTCCTGACATCAGACTTTGACTCAAGCACTCAGATAGTACTGTGAGCTGAACCTTCCACAGCCAGCAGTGGTCAGAAGTTAATAGATGCTCATCTTATCTTTTATTCTGTCTATGAGGTAATTTAACTCTTTCCATCCTAATACACCTGCAGTGTTGCAGTCTGATAAATACCATTTTCTGTGTCAGATCCAGTACAGCAAGTCCCAGAGGACTGGTCTTTCTCCATCATGGTTTGGTTCCATTCAAGAGAATGGCACTTGTAATGGAAAGAGTTTGGCAGGGTGTGGGGAAAATGCTTTGTAGTGTCAGGCAAAGGAGTTTAAAGATCGAGTCCTGTAGAAAGTTAATATAAATTGCCTTTTAAATGAACTTTATTAG